TCACACATACACTTTTAAAAGTTTTCAAAACAATTTTTTCAAACACTCTTGAGGACAGATACAAGAGTCACTCAGAAATCTTTCAATGAAACTTTTTCAAACCCACTCACATTTGAAAAGCAAACCAATTTTTGAAAACATAAGAGCAAGTACCTAAGGGCCCGTGGATAACCACAGATAGAAAGGGTGCTAACACCTTCCCTTTCTATAAATCTACCTCCCGAACCGAGAGACATTCTCAATAAGGAATTTTGCTGTGCTTTTGTCCTTTCCATGTTGGAGAACATAAAAGACGGTGGCGACTCTTGCTTACCGCGACATTTCGCGAACCAGCATTTCAAAACAGTCAGTTCTATTTCCACCGATCACACTTACATTCAAATCATGCACAAATGCAAGAAATAATAATACAAATACATACTTGTACATACAAGAACAAAGTTATACAAATGTGAAAGAATTAATACATGAAGTCATTATAATCATATACATTGAGAACATGCAATGGTTATCAATCAAAATTTTTGGAAATGAATATTCATGGTTTTCATCATTTGAGAACATAACGAGCATTTTCCATAAACTAAAACATGTAATAAGAAACTTCTTACTTTCAAGGAGAAATTTGGAACAATATTACCTCACTCTTGATGTAATAGAAGTTGCACTCACATGATATAAAATACTTCAAACAAAGTGTTAGAGAAAAAGTATAAAAGTGCAAGTATCATAATAAAGAAGGAAACATTGAAGACATTAATAATCCCCAATTTATTATGTTTGTTGAAAGACTGTTTGGTTGCAAACATTTTTTGAAAACGTCGGTAAGTTGATTTTCACTATCAAAATGCTCGAACACAAATCCCCCTTTTCAACATGATCGTGAAGGTAATTCCCCATACATGTGCTCCTTCCTTGAGTTACTTTATTTGGAATATGGGAGAGTAATTCAACTCCCCATAAGACTCATTTCAAAAACTCCCTGCATAAGCTTAGAGAACTCTTTGACAAGTCGCATGTTAGTAGAATCAAATATGATGTAAAGTCAAATGTGTTATGATTGATGTTTAAATGAAGCTAAACATGCTTATGTACACATAAGTGTTTATAATAAACACATGAAAATATAATGTGATGAGGTCATTTCAAGTATATGAATTGATAAGTCACTATGATTATCAATTAAGAATTATGTTGCAAATAAATACTCATAATATATATACCATACACCAAGTATGTCATATATTTAGATAAATAAACAAGTAAAATAGAGAACTTACTAAAAAAAAATTAAATCCATACTACCTCATCATACAATATGGCGGAGGATGCACTTGCATTTCACATGGGACTCTCAAAAGAAAGTTGAATAAAATGCAATGCCACAAAGTCTTTAGAAAATCACGATCTTACCACTTTTCACTTTGACAAAGTACCCAAAATTATAACTGTGATGAACCCAAGAAGGTCATTGATTTGATGATCATTCATTTTGATTAAACTTTCATCGTTGTCCTTTTCATGATAGTTATCTTTATCCTCCTCAAGTTTCACCGATTCAGATTGATCAATTTCTTCTTCAACATCATTGAGTATGTCTCTTAAAGATAAACCTACATCATGAAATTGAAATACCTTTTCCGAGTATTCTCGGATACAACATCAAAAAGTAACTTACACATCGTTTACCAATAAAACAAAAACTTGTTGTTGCTTTCTAGATCACATAATCCATAATCTTGCCCCATTGAAACAACCGGCTGAAAATCATCAAACAATGAAGTCGCCATCGAACGTCTTTTATCCCACATGTAGGGAAAGGTAAACATCGAGAAAACCTGGGAAAGGAGAAGTCACGGTCTTGCGACCGAGAGATCGGGTAAGGGAGTCTGTTACGCGAGGGGAAGGTATTAGCACCCCACACGCCCGTAGTACTCTACGGTACCCACTCTTGTTATCTATTTTATGGGTGTGTTTAATCTATGCTTATTGTTTATTACTGCTAAAGGGAGAATGCATGCAAAAGAAATGAGAAAAGAATATAGGGAAAATAAAAGTTGTGCTCGTTCGGGCCCTACCCCCGATGCCTACATATCCCCTTTTAAGGAATCAGAGCAGCCGTAGTTCGGCTCACATGTTTTTGTTGGTTTGCATTTTTTAATGAACAACATTAATTTCGCCTTCTGCCGCAACTCGACCTTCGGAGACTTACGCGTCAGCACATAAGTGAATTAACATGCTCTTTTGAAAAAAAGTTTGGAGAAAATGTGCCTGGACGCACAAAAAGGTTTGAAATAGTTTGTGTTTGTTATGAACGATATTAATTTTGCCTTCTGCCACAACTCGACCTTTGGAGACTTACGTGTCAGCACAAAAGTGAATAAACTTGTTCTTTTGAAAAGAGTTTGAAAGAAAGGCCTGAAGGAAAAAAGAGTTTTGTGTTTGTTGGTGTTTTTGCTTGTGGATAATTGCTAGTTAATCTCAAGAGAGAGGTTTTAGTCATTTCTCCACTTATTCATGAAATGATTCTTTGAGACTTAAACCATGTCAAGGCTTAGAAAGGAAAAACAATAAGATTGAGAAGAGACCCACTTATCATCTCCCATGTTCAACAAAGGCACGATTCTCGTCAGTAATTTTTAAGTATCTTTTGAAGTTTGCGAGAAAAAGAAGTTTTTGTTGTTTTAAATGCATATGCGAAAAGAAAAAAAAGTCAAGGGGAGACTAGCCTATTTTTAAACCTAAAGTTATCATACTTCATATGATCTCTCAAAAGCGATAAATGCGGAGATGAGGAATAAAATGAGGTCGCGATGATACCAAATGGAGAAGGTTCGTTGCCTCTTCAAAATCATGCAAGCAATAGGAAAATTCTACTAACAACATTCCTTGAATCCCTTGATGCAAATTACGCTCTTAGCTAGCTTTGAAATCTCTTAAATTCTTCACTTGAGTATCTTTTTATCAAGTTTTATGAGATTGTTATCAATAATTTAATTCGGCATCTAAGGATCATATTTTTCCATTATAACATTCATCATGCCAAGAAGATTGAATCAAGAATAAGGAATCGACAAGAACACCCCAATTATAACCATTTCCCACATTTAATCAATTAAATCCTAAAACTAATCATAAAAATCATGAAAAATTATATCTAAGTCAGAGACTAATATACTATTATCAACACAAAACTTCAGTCGAAAATCATGAAAGAAATTATCAAAATTAACTACTCAAAATTATAACAACAAAATGAAAATAAAGAAGAAACCAGGAGGTATGAAGGCCATGCCAGGGGTGTGAATGGAACAACATATGTTACAAGCAAGTGAATTCTGAGCCCAACAGAAATGAACCTAATAAGCATTTTTGTGTATGATCAAGAGGTACCAAAAAAAACATGGTGATGGGCCTGAGGATGAGAAGTTTTCGGTCCATGGTGCTATTATTCAGCATAAAACATAATAATAATTAAAAAAAATATTGAAATAATTAAAGAAGAGATTAGGGTTACTATGAGAACAGAGTTCCCTTCGTCCTCTCAAACTCAGCCGCGACGAACAACTTCCTGTAGGATTCACCCTTTCTGTTCTTCGATCCAAGGTCCCATATGCTTTATCTTGAACTCGCCTTCGTCTTCGAAAAACTCAGATGCGATACCATCATGCCAGGCTTTATCGGCCGTAGATCCATCCTCTTCGTTCGCTTTGATCGGAAGTAAACTCCGGCAATCCTCTAATTAATGACGTCACCGTCGATGGTAAAAAGGCCCGAAGACGCTTCCTCTATAACTCAGGTTTACCCTCGTACTCATCCTTTCCGTCTTTGACTACTTCTTCTTCTGATCTACTCTTTCGCGATTTGTGCATTGTTGCTGATGTGAAATTAACATGATGATGAAACTTGTTCTTGTGATGCAAAATCGATGTTGATGCAGATTCGACGAAGATGAAGTCTTGAATCAGATGAATTGAAGAACATTGATGAAGATGATGATGTTTGCGCTGGTTGAGGTTTTCAGAAATGATGTACATAATCAATGATGTTGATTGAAGATTGAGATGATGAATGTTTGCTGAGGTTGAAGAATGAAGATGATTGGATTCTGAGAAATGAAGAGTGAAGAGAGAAGATGAAGATGAAGGGGAGGGAAGAAGGAAGAGGTTTATGGAGATTCTTCTGCAGAATTGTCGAATGAATATGAATTGGTAAGTTTTTATATTTAAATCTATTCTGTAGAGTTGAAAAATAATGAATCTGAATCCCCCTCAATCTGAAAACTGAAATTCTGTTATATAGATTGCTGAGAGTTGGTTAGGAGTTAGTTAAGCGGTTAGGAAGTTTTAAATTCAGTTACAGTCGGTTATCAGTTAGGAATCGGTTGAGAACTGTTAGAAAATTCTATTTTAACAATGGTTGAAATCTGTTAGTTATTTTTTTCTGCTGGAAGTTTGTTATGGAACGGTTAGAAATTGGTTATGACAGTTAGGAGTTTTAGAGGGCTGTTTAGAGGTTGTTTAGAGGTTGTTAGGGATTGAAACAAATCTGTTAGAAAACAGTAGCAGGTTACTAGAATGGTTAGAGGTTAGGAATCAATTAGTTGGCTTGGTAATAATAGTATAAGCTATTAGCAAATTCTGTTTTTGAAGTTGGGATGTTGTAGGCTGTCCATTCTGTTATGACAGTTGGGGGTTGGTTTTGATTTTCTGTTATGGGTTGTTAGAAGGTTAGGGATTGGTTGAAGGTTGGTTAGAAGTTAGGAATTATTTAGGTGATTTAGTTATTTTTTTGTTTAGAAACCATCAGAAAATTGGTTGAAAGTTCTGTTAAACAGTTAGGAGATAGTGGGACAAGTTGTTAGAGGGAGTTACAAATTGAATGTTGTTATGAAAAACTGTTATGAACTTTTTTCTTTCAATTTTTTTCTTCTTTGAACTGCTATATGAATGAGCTGTTAACCGCATTTTTGGAATTTAGAGATTCTGTTATGTTTTCTGTTAATTTTTTCTGTTTGGTTTTATTAATTTAATACAGGGTTGAACTGGTAATGCAGGGCCATTGTTTTTCTGGTAATGCAGGGCTAAACTGGTAATGCAGGGCTGAACTGTGGATGGGCTAGGAGTTCCCCCCTGGACATTATGAATATCAGAAGAAAGATACTGAGAATGAGCTTTTTTCCATTTTGCCTGGGCAACTGAAATAAGATGCTTCATAGTCTTAGATGTTTTTAGAGTAGTCTTGGAATTTTCAGCTGAAGATGCTAGCTTCTTCTTATGAGCATAAACTTGGTTTTGAGAAGAGATGAGGTTATGCGAAGATTTGGAAGACCCGTTATCAGCCTTCTTTGGAGTAGCAATGCTGGAAGCTTTAAGCAAAGGTATGGAAGATTTATTACGCTCAACATTTGACTCTGTTGTTGCAAGAACTGGCTGAGGTGATTTTACTGGGGAGGCAGAGCTTACTCTTGTCACCTTGGAGGGAAACTGCTTTGAATCTAACTTATCCCGACTAAGAGGAATGTGCACGGGAGTGGCTTCATCGACTTTCTCTTTTTCAGGGGGCTTAATAGATGATGCATCAACATGTAATTGAGAACATGGTTCTTTCAAATGACCTTCCTCAAGTTCACTAGAATTTCTGTGAGCCAGCTTAGCAGCATCAAATTTCTCAGAATGTGCATTATTTCCATTCTTGATATCTGAAGCAAAAGGCGACTTAATATTTTTTGAAGCTCCTCCATGAACAGGTGTTTTAGGTACATCATCATCTTCATTGAGGCAAACAACTTTACATTTCTTTTGTGCATGTTTTGTCGTAACATTCTTTGCATCACCTTTCAGTTTAAGATTGTTCCAAACTTTTTTATCACCAGAAGCAACTTTATCAGAACCAAGCATAGTTTTCTGAACTTGGCTATGTTGTTTGGTCATAGGTAGCAACTCATGGACAAAGCTTTTTTCTGTTTTTGAATTTAATGTGGACCTTTTCAACTCTAACATTTTAGATGATTTGTCTTCAACAAAAGTAGAGCAAGGCAAAAAAGTTTTCACATCTTTTGGAATGTGCCCTGAAGCTAAATCATCTCTGACGTCCATGCGTTTCAACTTCTTCGTAGCATGTAAGGATTCACTTGCTACCACATTATGCTTTGCATGAACTTGGTTATTCTTCTTATGATTTTTCTGCAGGGCTGGGATTTGGTTGCGGGAAGAAACCTGAGCATATTTCAGGCCATCGAGTTTCCTTCTATTGAAGCCAAGGTATGCTGATAAAGACTGGTACGAAGCAGTAGATGCGCATTTTGGTGAAAGCATGGAGTTTTGGCCTTAAGAATTTTAGGCTTAGAAACATAGAAACAAATTCCTTGTAATTACTTCTTTTTGTATACTTCAAACATGTAATGGCACCATGCCTTCTTCTTGGTCTTCTTCTTTGCAACCATAAGTGACATCAGTTCTTGCTGCCCTTTGGCCAAGTTGAGCAGGGTTTCTTGAAATTGAGAATTGTGTCTGCAAGTCCTTCACAGTCTACTCAAGATCCATCTTACTGAAATAAACATTAGAAAGATGAGAAAGCATGTGTCGGAAAACCTTCTTATGTTATGATGCATGTAATGTGAATGCAAATGTTTTCAAGGACCTTTAAGATTTAAATTTGTTAAAACAAAAAAGGAACAAACATCAATTGTATTAATAAGTTCAAATGGTTACAAAAATGCCTCTTGGGCTTACAATGAAAGAATAACAACATAATGAAATTATACAACAAAAGACTCGGGTCTCCCACGGACGCTTCCTCTTTGAACTCATGTAGGGATTCAAGTTCCGCTCCTCGTGGATTTGCCTTGTGAGCTCCAACACTTTCTTCTCGCTTGAGTAGAATTGGGCTTCAAAGGTGTCTCGCTCTCCCTTGAGTTGAATCTATGACCTTTGCAATTCCTCGAGAGAAGTAGGCATGTCAGGATAAAGAATAGTGTAGGGAATATCTCCTTCGTCAATAGGCTCCATGATGATAGGTAAGATGGAAGGATACGACATCATGAGGCTTTGAGCACAAGCTCACACCCATTTGAGATAAGGCTCCAATAAAGTCTACATATTTTCTTCGGTTATTACCAACGTCACAGTTACTCGGTAATTAGTAATATTCGTAGGAAAAACTCGTCTGAGTGCAGCATCGCGTGACAACTACTTCTGGATTACTATGTCATAGTCTCCACACTACATCTAAAAAGGCCAAGATGGGTTAAGGGTTATACGGCTCTCAGCTTCTCTGGATTCTAGGTCGAAAGCAACAATGTCTTCCTGATTACTCGGTAAACAATGCTACATTCAAGGGGACCTCCACTGAGTGGGGGATTTCATGTCTCCTTCTTCGGGATTACTCCCTCAAAGTTAACCTGACTATATCGCTCATCCTATCTTAAGTATAACTTAGTTCGGGTATAAGACTTGTCCTTTGTAATCATCATCAACACCCAAAGAACCATAAAATATCACATAAATTAAGCAAACAAGTAATAATAACGAAAACACATATAACAAATTAGGTTTAACCCACTTAGAGTATTTAAATTCCCCATCAGAGTCGCCAATTCTATAGCGGTGAAAATCGGAGATCAAGCTATTAATTAACTTGACTCGCAAATAAGCAAGAGTCGCCACCGCACTTTATTATTTCCAATGGAAAAGGGAAAAGTGCAAAATAAAACCCATAAATATGCAAAGTAAGTTCAATACTAAAAGTAAAAAAAAATACAATACATTTGAAAGAGATCGAAGGTTCGGGGATTGGTTATACAAAGGGAAGGTACTAGCACCCTATGTATCTATAGTATCCTATAGGAACCTTTTGAAATATCTGTTTTTGGTTAAAATTGGTTTGCTTGCTAAATGAGTGTGGGGATGAGATTTTGAAAATGCAACGACTCAATGTTGAAGTTTTTGGCTTAAAAGAGGTACGGGTTTTTTAAAATTAGGGTTTAGAAGATATTTGTTTTTAGATTAATAAAACTAAAAAAAATGTACAAAGAGGTTTTCACACAATCATATTAAATATATTCGATGACATGAAGTCAATGAATTCGATTTTTCTTTGGAGTTAGACAAACAAAATATAAAGACTAAATTAACGACAAAGGGAAATTAAATAAATATCAATTAAATAACTAAATAATTAACAACCAAAAATTAAATAAAATAAAGAAAGACAAAATTATACTAATATAGATTTTCGGTATTTTTTAAAGAGGGCAAGAAAGAAATAATTATAATCTTAATCTAATAATTTTTTTTTGGATTTTTTGTTTGGATTTTTAAATGAAAATAAGGCAAAAGACTTAAAAATTAGAAATAAAAAATAAAGTGAGCAAAGAGAAGATAAAATGGTCAAGTGAGCAAAGAAAAAATGCATAAAGTAAATGTTGTGAATTCAATGCCAATAACAAAGTATAGAATAAGGGAGGAATAAGGAACAAGGAAGAAGAAGAACACAAGAATTGGTTATAACTGCTATTCTTTACTTTCTCTTAGAAAACAAGATTACAAGTTTACAAGAATAACAAATAACCCTCTCACCCTAAATTAGGATTTGCTGTGTTGGCAATGATGAGAGACTAGTATGCTATTTATAATAAAACCTAACATACTAACTAATGGGCTTTTTCCACAAGGCCCATTATACAAGCTAACTTAACAAACAAGCTAACTTAACAAATTAGGGTTTAAACACTAAAACCTAATTCGACAAGCATCCTTTGACAAATACATGCTAGAACCTTCTTCGACTACAACAAGTACTTCGACCAACTAGAGTTCGATCCAAAATCCCACAAATCTCCACCTTGGACCTAACTCTACAGCATCAAGAGACACTAACTAGCTTTCTTCATGCAGCTTTATCAACTGCATACAGTGGAAAAACTTGCAACTTGGCAATGTTTTGGTGATCATATCAGCAGCATTGTGATCTGTCGAGACCTTCAGCACTTGGACTTCTCCACGCTCGATTACCCCTCTGACGAAATGCAGCCTCACATCTATGTGCTTGGTTCACTCATGATAGGCTGAGTTCTTCGACAGGTGTATTGCACTTTGACTATCACATTTAACAGTGATACCTTGACCTTGAAGTTTTAGCTCCTTCGCAAAACCTTCAAGCCACAATGCTTCTTTCACAGCTTCAGTTAAGGCAATATATTCTGCTTCAGTAGTTGATAAGGCAACAACCTTCTGAAGAGTTGCTTTCCAACTAATTGATGTACCAAACATAGTGAAAACATATCCAGAAATAGATTTCCTGGAATCCATACATCCTGCATAATCAGAGTCAACATAGCCTTCGACTGCTGCTTTACTATCTTCACCCAAGGCTCCACCATAAATTAAGACTCTGTTCAGAGACCCATTTATGTACCTTAGAATCCACTTTAACGCTTGCCAGTGAGCCTTTCCAGGATTCGCCATGTACCTGCTTACAAGACTTACTGCATATGCTATGTCGGGTCTAGTACAGACCATAGCATACATCAAAGAACCAACTATATTAGCATATGGGATGCTGTTCATATAGGTTCTTTCGACATCAGTACTGGGACATTGATCAATGCTCAGCTTGAATTGAGGGTTTGTTGGAGTCACAACAGGCTTTGAATTCGACATACCAAACTTGTCAAGAATCTTTCGTAGGTATGCCTCTTGAGATAAGCATAATTTCGACTGCTTTCTATCTCTTCGAATGTCAATTCCAAGGATCCTAGATGCAGCTCCCAGATCCTTCATGTCGAACTCCTTATTGAGTTCAGCCTTCACCCTCATTACATCTTCGACATTGTTGCTTGCTATCAGAATATCATCAACATAGAGCAACAAAATAACAAATGAATTTTCAGGTCGAAATCTGGAGTAAACACAATGGTCGAACTGACTTCTAATGAAACTTATGTGTTCCATGAACTTGTCGAATCTCTTATTCCACTGTCGAGGAGATTGTTTAAGTCCATATAAAGATTTCTTCAGTTTGCACACATAATCTTCTTTCCCCTTTTCGACATACCCTTCAGGTTGCCTCATCAGGATTGTTTCGTCTAAGTCACCATACAAGAACGCAGTCTTCACATCCATTTGTTCCAGTTCAAGGTCGAACTGAGCCACCATGGCAAGCAACATTCGAATGGATCTGTGCTTCACAACAGGGGAAAATACATCATTGAAGTCGATACCTTCTTTCTGAGTGAAACCCCTTGCGACTAATCTTGCCTTGTACCTCTTCGACATTACTCCTTCAATTCCTTCCTTAACTTTGAAAATCCACTTACAGCTGACTAACCTTGCACCAACAGGTTTCTTGATCAGTTCCCAAGTGTGATTATCATGAAGAGATTTCATCTCATCATGCATGGCCTTTAGCCATTCAGTCTTCATTCGACTCCTTATAGCTTCCTTATAATCTCTAGGTTCTTCGTCTAGAACTTCACTTGCAGAGATTAAGGCATAAGCTACAAGATCTGCATATCCAAGTCTCTGAGGTGGTTTTATGACTCTTCTTTGCCTATCTCTCGACAATAGGTAGTCATCAACAGTTTCCTCAACATCATCAGAATATTCTGTTTCTTCTTCGACTTCATCTGGGATACGCATTTCAGCATCAACATGCTCCACCTCAACAGGAATCTCTACCTGTTCCAGCTCTTCGTCAACCTCATCAGTTTTCTTGAAAGCCATTTCAGTTTCATTGAAAACTACATCTCGACTGGTGATACACCTCCTGTGACCTGGCTCTAGGCACCATAGCCTATAAGCTTTTACTCCTTCAGGGTATCCCATAAACATGCATTTCAGAGCTCTAGGTTCGACCTTGTCTTGCCTAATGTGAGCATAGGCTACACAACCAAATACTCTTAGTTTGTCGAGATCTGGTGGATGTCCCGACCAAACTTCTTCAGGTGTCTTCATATCTAACGCTGTCGAAGGACATCTGTTTATCAGATATGCTGCTGTCGAAACAGCCTCAGCCCAAAACACCTTCTTTAATCCCGCACTAGTCAACATGCATCTAACTCTCTCCAAAATAGTTCGATTAAACCTTTCAGCCAAACCATTTTGTTGTGGAGTACCTGCGGTAGTTCTGTGCCTTGCAATACCAGAGGCAACACAAAAACTGTCGAACGCCTCATTGCAAAACTCAAGGCCATTGTCGGTTCTCAACCTTTTTACCTTTCTGCCAGTTTGATTTTCGACAAGAGTCTTCCAACTTTTGAAATTCTCAAAAGTTTCATCCTTAGTCTTCTGGATGAATACCCATAACTTTCTGGAAT